CGCTCATTTTCCTCAGAAATTATGAACAGATTGTTCCTAATAGAAACTTGTGGAGGTGCATATTATTTTTGCTCTCATAATTCTCGTATGTGGAAAGCCAAATAGATACTGCTGCATGCCATACTGTGATAAATAATAATTATGGTCATCAAGAAGGTTTTAATTTCTGGTGTACTAAAAATGATGAACAAGTTTTGTTGGATGTGCCTGTTTTCGAAGTTCTCCCTTCATTAGTGTCAACTTCTATCTTTTATTTGTTCATTAGCAACGGAACGTGGTAGCAAAAACCGATTTCAAATATGCTGTTACCGCTGAGATGATTTGAACTACTGCCATGGAATATACACTTTCAATAAAATGCAGCCAGAGTTGACGTTGAGGCGCGGTAAAAATTTTTCTAGGAGAATTACGACAGTGTTCAGGAATTTTTTCTAGGAGAATTACGACAGTGCCTTTTTGGAACGGGTGTATTCAGCGCCGTTGATTTCGCTGTCAGAATTGTTGAAAAGTATTATAAACAGAGGATATCGAAGTAGAACGATTCGTGTCCAATATAGTACATTATCGGAGTATCTTAATATTGCTGATCATTTGAAAATTATGCGGGATTTCAAGGTTAGCCCAAGTTATAAAGCTTTTCGGCATAAATCGCAAGATCGCAGAACCGATAATAATGTCAGATAACTCAGCAATATGGGCTCTACCACTGACTGCGAAAGAAATGCTGGATGCCGAACTCGTATATAGTAAAATTTCCGGATGCTATTATGGGTGGAATGCCAGCCACATAATCACATCTGACAAAAAAATTTTGACGTCTCTTCTAGCTAATCAAATAGTACTATTTGCCCTCTCCATCCAATGATCAGATTGGCACTTTTCCTGTTTTTTAACAACGCTTATCTGAATGAGACACGTTTAAGGTTAAATTCAGCAGTCTTAGGAACATTTATTGCTGCTTGATACAAAATTGGCTAAATCGATACTAGTATTATCTTTGCTAAATTTTGAGTAAAAAAAATTCTGTTTCTCTGGCTAAGTGGTTTAACTGGTCTTTATCCCTTTTGATCGATTTTTTATTTTCTTCCCAGTACGGTCGTTCCTGCTTGTACTTTTAAGCCACGCAATATAGCAAAGCGAATGGAGTATGAGCTCCTTTCTTTTGGTGCCATAATGCTGTATTTGGTGTTGTACTGCTCTGAGTGCAATACCACTGCAGTAGCAGCAAAAGTAACAAAACAATTAATAGTGATAATAATAAAAAATAATAATAACAATAACAACAATAATAATAGCATTAATAATAAAAGCAGCAGCATTACCAGTAGTACCCCAAACTAGTAGACGACCTACGAGCACTTTATATATGTCACTGTGCAATGAAGATTTTCAGGATGGTGTGCCGCGAACTGCGTATCTTGGTGTTGTAACGTGTTTCGTTTACGGGGTACGAATTTATATAGCACCGAATCCGAGCAGCTGGGAAAAGTATGATCCGAAATGGGAGGCACTGCCGAGCGCAAACGATGTCATCACTTTCTTGTAGCTGCTCACATAACTTGTTTCGCTTTTTGGTTTATAGCTTTATGTTCCGTTTCGTATTGTAAAAACTTTTGTTTGCTTAGCATTCTTCCATTGTTTGTTTGATTTCAGCTGGGATTTAGTTTCGATAGTTAATAATTTTGTGCTTCTTTCTTTTTTGGTTCGGGTTGCTGCATCCCGGTAATCCCGAGGGTTCGACAGCGGGAAAATTAAATTGGAACAACTCTCTTCTCTCATGCAATTTTCAAAGAAAGCACTGGGAATTGCGAGACAAAAAGAAAAATTTGAAGAACCAATGGTGAGCGCCTACATTTAAGGGTTGGCCAGAATTAAGACATAGTTGCCCGATTAAGCCGCCTTTGAGCTGAAGTCATATTTGTCATGTTCACTAGTCTAGTTCTTAACTCTCTAGGTCGTCGCTTTTTATTCAGTTGTCCAAATTTTGCGAGCTAATTTAGTGTTTTAGTCCATACAGTTTTGAAACGATTGCTTTGAATAGCGCTCTGTTCTTTGATATGTTTCCAGAATGTTTTCTATTTTTCTGACGATCATGGTGCGGTGGGAAGTAGTACTGTTTTCGTGCAGTAAGCCGAGGATTCGGTTTTGCCGGTGCGACAACCGATTGCTCTGCGATTTGTTCATTCGTTTCGATGGTAAATTGG